TGTCTGCAGTGCCTGACTCATCCCACTGCAGTTGCTCTGGAATGGGAACCCAAGTTTAAAATTTTCCAACTTTTTTTTTTATTCACCAGGGAAGCTCATGTCTAACCCACTGAGACGGCAGTGGAAACTGGAACAGCTTCTGTCTTCATGGGAGGCAAACAAAACCTGAAAAAATAGGGAGAGGAAATAAATGAGGCACTGTCTGATTGAAAGTCTGGTATTTTATGTTGCCTTTCACAACTTGACACAGGATGCTTTCTTGCACAGGTGTAGCTATGCTGGAGTGACCCAGCTGGGACATGGCCACTCCCAGCCCAGGTGTGCCAGTGGTATTTCCTCCTTTCCTCCTCTTGTTCCAGAGCACAGAGCAGTGCCACACAGCCACGGCTCAGCAGCCATGGTCCTACAGCAAGCTCTGCTGGGATCCCTGATTCCTGACCCTACCAAACCTCTCTTCTCCCCACGTGCAGGCAGAGCCTTGCACTCAAAGCTTTTGCTGTCCCCAGACACAGACCCCTCTGGGGTGGCACAGGCATGGATACAGGGTGCTGAGGGCTTGCAGAACTTCCCTGCCAGGCTGGGGGAGGCACTGCCCTGTGCTGCTCCCCAGCTCACAGGGACAGTGTCCTGTGGGCACCTCTGGGACAGTGCTCAAAGCCACAGCAGCCCCAGCCTCCCCCTGCCCCAGTGCAAACCTCACAGCTAAGCCCACCTCATGCAAGCTGGGAACCTTCTCTTTTGCTTTTATACCAGACATGATCTCACCAGACATTGCTTTTAGCTGCAAGAAAATTCCTCCCTCTTACTGTTTTGCTCTTAAGAACTGCTTTCCTGGGCTAAACATCCTTTGCTTTAAATAGATGTGCTGACCCAAATACTACTGTGAATGATTATTCAAGGATGAAGAACAGACTGTAGTCCAAAGATTTTTACAAGACAACTTAAATCAATATGATCTTTCTGATTAGCACTTCTAGGAAACCTGTATGGCTATACTCATTACTTGGCTCATTTTGCTGTTATTTATCAAGCATCTGAGATATTTACACTGTTGTCCTCTGGACTGCATTGATTTCTTTTGGAACAAAATGTAGCCTGGTAATCCTCTCCTGTGGAATTTTATAACAAATATTTTACAGCAAGCCACTTGTTAGTAATGAGCCTCGTATCACTTGTACAACTCCTTTTATAATCTTTACCCTTAAAAAATAATTGGCAACATTTAGAATAATAATTCAATAGTTTATTAACCAATGGCCTACTTGCAATATTAAACTGAACATGGCATTGCAACTTGGGCCATTTTTCAATTTTGTATAGCAAAAAACCTCTGCATGTGTGGAAGCCAGCATTTTTCACAGCACACATCTGAATATTTTTTTATTTCAGGCTGCCTACTGTAATAGAGCAATCACTTCAACAGAAAATATGCTGAAAGCCTGAAATCTAAATCTAATTTAGAGTCTAAATGATGCACATGATTAAAAATGTATTATCTATTCCCAACAAATCAGCATCATTGAAACACTAATATTTCCCTAATTTTAAGCATCATCTAGTGAGTCAAACATTAGATCTGATCTTCCAAATTATGCCCAAGGAAAATAAGATCCTGGTTTCACTGCATCCCACTTAGTGCTAGGTCTGGTGCTGAGATTTCTAAGTCAGCTGTTTAGTCACCATCTGTTCTCTCACTAATGGACATTAAATATTCTTCCAAAGGTGCTGCAGACTTGAGCTTCTGCATGAAGATAATTTGTTTGTTGACAAAGGAGGGTCTTGGCTGAGCAGGCTCCCTAGTTAGACAAGGCTAACTGCCTGGAAGTGAAGCAGGGAAAAACCTCATTTTGATAATGATATTTTTTTTTTATCACTCCAGAGCAAGGGACTGGAAAGGATGTGGTTTTATTTCAATTATAGGCCAAAGAAAAAAAAAATCTCCAGGCAAATAAACAGCTTTATAAGGATCATGATTGTTACTACTTCCATTAGCTGGCTTGCCATGAAGATGAAGTAGGTCTGAGAGAGAATAGCACAGCAAGTCTGCATACAATTATGGGACCTGCTTACCTGGCACTGGTGTTAAATCAGCTCCAGCTGCTGACCTGTATAAACAGCCACCCATGGATGGAATTCATTTGGAAAGGAAGTGATGCACACCTGGTTGGGTTAACATGGAGTCACTCTGGGCACAGGCAGGGATGTTCAGACTGAGCCTTGTTTGGCCTCTGCAATTACAGAGCTTGTGGCTGGAGCTGTGCTGGTACTTTACACATTCCAGCCAAAGTGCTGCAAGACCAGGCAGTGCCCTGCTGGGGGTGAGGAAAAGGCACTTGCCTTGGACTGGAGTGCATCACCTGGGAGGCAGGAGTGTCATATGGGGGTCAGAAATATTCCTTGGCTGCTGCTGGCAGTACCCTCAGTTGGCCAAGCCATACATTTAACCTATTTCTGGTCAAATCTGGATCTCGGGGAGGTGGATTGATTTATGTGTCCTCAGTCCCCAGGCACTCCATGGTACCAGCACATGTGGCACTTCAGCAGTGCCCTGGGGCTGGTGGCCCTGGCCCCACAGCAGAGCAGCCCTGCTCTGTGCCCAGGATCCCTCTGGTGCTGCATCCCAGGCACCCAGCCAGCCATGCTCACCCCTGCTGGGCTACATCTGCCTGGGAGGGAGGCTGACAGCCTGGCCTGGGCCACAGAGGCCTCTCTGCTCTTCTGTTTCTGGGTTCTCCCCATTTCGGCCTGTGCATCGCTTCTGGCTGTGTCAGAGCAGTTATGGCAGCACAGGCTAAGGGCTGGTGGAGGACAAGGACTGCTGCCTCTCACCTCAGGCTCCCAGGGAAATTGTGATGTGCAGTGCCCACCTGCTATTTCAAAACAGGGGAGGTTTATCTGCACCTCATGTTAGAGAAATCTGATACCTGCTGGGGTTTAACTGGGGAAAGCAGCATCTCTAGGAGTGGGAGCATTTAAGGCCTGGTCCCTCATCACTGACTCATGACTGCTGAGGGGTGACAGAGGTACCTGGCCTTTGTTCTCTACTTCTAAAACAGGAGGAGTATCAAAACTGAAGCTTGGAATCACCTGCACAGCCTCACTAACACCTGAAATACCTTAGAGTTGTCCCAACTTGGACATTGGCAAAACTGCTGGGAAAAAGAAGCAAACATCCCTTTTCTCCCTCATCCCTACTGCCCATACATGTTGTGTTGCTAGCAAAGGGCAAGGTCTTTTAGCAAGATCCTGATTTGTGGCCTATAATGTCATGATGGGAAGTGGATTCAAGTAGGAAATCAATTTTCAGAGCTATACAGCAACAAAAAAAAAAAAAGATTTTGGAGTTCTTCCCCACAAACAGAGCAGAGCATGTGTACGTATCAGTCTGTTTAGCAAGACAGTTTAAGCTCACTGGAACAGTCACACAGCATGCACAGTCCATATCAGGATCCAGTCAGCTCCAAACACTGCCCAGCTACAGGGGTAAGCCAGAATTTAATGACATCACAAAATAAACATTTAAAAAATACAGTAAAAAGGCTTTACCTTGGGTTTAAGCAAAAAGTGAAATTTTCCAGTCCTGTGGGATCCTTCACTGCTTCCAAGTCTGCTGGCTCACAGTGCAGCAAAATGATCAGGCATTTATCAACCCTGGCAAGGTCTGCAAGTCCTGAGGGTGTTTGATTTGGAAAGAAAGGTGTCTGGAGGAAATTCCTTAACATCTTCACCCAGAGTTACGCAGGGAAAAAAAAGAAGAAATAAAAGCAAGCTTTAAGAGGTCAGAATGTGTAGCCTGCCCAGAGCTGCTATTCCTGGTAGAAATTAGACCCTGAAGTGCCCAGGTGAAAATCAGGGATAATCCCTGTATAAGTGCTTCTAATTGGGACAAACTGAGAGTGAGAAAGTTGAGCAAGACAGCACTGGCCCACCCCTGGGGGCTCCGGGTCTGTTCCCAGCTGGTAACTGAGAGCACAATTATGCAAATCCTCCTCCATAAACAGAATTGGGTTTATTATGGCCGAACTGGGGGAATCTATTTTTGTTACCACTCTGTGTGAATGTGTTACCCTTGTGATTTCCAGCCAGGTCATTCCAAGTCAGCTGCTTTGGCCGTGGCTGTCGCTGGAAGCTCCTCTGGCCCCATTTCTCACCCGCCCGGGGTGGCTCCCAGGCGAGGGGGACGAGGGGATGAGCCTGTGGCTATTCTGGTAGCTGTGAGCCACGGAGGTGTCACGTGAAGCAAAGAGCCAGAAATGCATGTCAAATCCAACCAGTGACTAATCACGGTATTTTGGTTGTCTTAGTGGCTGCCGGGGAAAGATTTATGGGCTCAGAAAATGTTCCCGTAATAATCCCTGGGTGCTGATTTGATCTTCAGCTGAGGCTTCCCAGGGCCGTGCGGAAAGGGGAGGAAAGGGGACGGAAAGGGGACGGAAAGGGGGCTGCTGTCCCGGGCTGGTGACGTCTAAACCGATCGGAGTTCAAAATACAAACAAGAGGAGCAAAGTCGGCGCTCTCTTCTCATCTGTGTGTGCTCAGAGCCACGCGCTGGCAGCCAGAGAGGATCCCTGGGATCTGCCCGTGGAGCAGGAAGGGTTGGGGGTGACAGCTGAGCAGACATGGAGGGCCATTGATTGGGACCGTCATCGAGCTCCCTCATCTGTCACCTGATGGCCAGCCAAGCAAGTGCTGGGCACAACTGCGGACCCTTCATCCTTGTGCAGCTTGTGGAGGCAAGAAAAGTAAGCATCCTACAGCTGATACACATTCAGCTATTTTCTCTATAAAGGAATGGATTGAATTCACTACAAATCTACTAACTGTCCCCCTGTGCCAGGCAAGAGACTGACTTGGTTTTTCTTGGGTTGGATTGGGCTTTTCTCTAACAGCTGGAGGTCTGCTGGGCATTCAAGCAATGGCTGTTGAGTGAGGCAGCTGTCTCAATATCTAATTGCATTTTAGCTCTAATAGCTCAAGGGAAAAGCATTGCATTGTCTGCCATGAGCTACTTCCTGTCCTACTGCAAAGCACACTGCACCGCTGTGCTCGCCCAATACCAGAGCCTGAGATCAGAGGGCTTTCTCTGTGACATTTTGCTGAAAGTGAAAGAAAATGAGTTTCCTGCACACAAGTCCTTGTTGGCATGCTCTAGCGACTACTTCCGAGCCATGTTCAAAAGTTATACCCAAGAGTCTAAAGCCAGTGTCATTCACCTACAAGTTGTCTCACCCACTGGGCTCCAGCACATCCTGGATTTCATTTACACATCCTTGCTGCCCCTTTCCTTTGAAAGCCTGGAGGATACCTTGGAAGCTGCAAGCTACTTGCAAGTGACTGATGCTATCGGCCTGTGCAATCAGTACTTAGTTAAAAATCTTGCCTTGGAAAACTGCTGCTACTCTGCCAACGTGGCCAGGAAGTTCTACCTGCCAGATGCCCTAGCAGCTGCAGAAAAATACATTATCCAAAATGTCTGGAAGCTGCTGGACTTGGATTTGTCAGGACTTCTCGAGCTGAACTTCAGGTCTTTGCTAGCAGTGATTCAATCACCAGATCTCCCCATGGTGGAAGAATGCCGCCTGTTGAATCTTGTCCTGCTGTGGTTGAAGCAGAATAAATCCAGGCTGGATCAGGCAAGCAGCCTTTTAGAGCACATAAGATATGGTCTCATCCCAGTGGAAGAGCTGAGAAAAACCTACACACAGTCAGAAGTGTTGCTCTCAGCAGGCATTAAGTGCATGATCATAAAAGCAATAAATTATCACACATCTGTATACAAACAGCCTGTCCTGCAGGATAAGTCCACCACGCTGAGGAACCAGAAAACTCGGATCATTCTACTGGGGGGAAGCACAGCAAGTGAGGGGCTCGTCAGCGATGTGGTGGCCTTTGATGTTTACAACCACAAATGGAGAACCCTCACACAGCTGCAGGACAGGGTGCAGAACCACAGCGTGTGCGTGGTGGGGAACTTCCTCTATGTCCTGGGTGGGGAAATACAAACTGGTACCCTGGGTGATGCTAAAATTGGAAAGACCTTATTGGTTACAAACAAGGTCCATCGGTACGATCCAAGATTTAACACATGGACCCAAATCACGGGCATGCTGGAAAAGAGATGCCAGTTTTCCTGCTGTGTCCTAGGCAAGAATATCTTTGCCATTGGTGGAAGGGGTGAGGACGGATCGCTGCATTCATCTGTGGAAGCCTATGACATCAGCAGGGATAGATGGACCAAGGCCAGGGAATTGCCATGCAGGATACATGGTCATGCCAGTGCTGTTTGCAAGGACACCATATACATCTCTGGGGGCAAGTACTCGGCCCCAGCCAGCACCAGCAATGACGTTTATTCTCTGAGCTCACTTGAAGGGCAGTGGGTGAAATGTGCCCCAATGAGCATTGCTCGGTTTGGGCATCAGATGGCAACAATCAGGGGATCCATATTCACCTTTCTGGGATTATATGAACCTTTCTCTGAAATAGAAAGGTATGACCCAGATCAAAACCAATGGACTCGGTTGAAACCCCTGGTCTACGATCGATTCTCCTACGGCCTGGCTGTGGTAGAGGAAACAGCTCTTCTCATTGGGGGAAAGAAGTGGCAAAATTCCCTGGAGGTCTCCACACAAGACGTGGTTGGCTATGACATCGACAACGATGGCTGGGAAGAGATCTGCAAGGCCCCTCTGCCCTGGTGTGGGCTGCAGTGTGCCGTGCTCCAGCTCTCCGAGGTGGCTGAGGAGCAGGACAGTGACAGCCACCAGAAGAAGCTGCCCAGCTGCTGAGCTCCCATGCTGAGGAATGGCCATCCCAGGAGATGAGCGCGCAGGGCGGTCCTGGAGAAGAAAACTGCAGTGGCTCTGAATGTGAGAGTGGAAGTTTTGCTTGGATAAGCCAAATACTTGGTGGAAACAGGCAAGAAAATCTGGCTCCAGCACAGGAAACACATCTAGGATTTATAAAGCTGGAAGCTGATCTCACTGAGCAAGGATGTAGCAAGTAGCTTGCTTAGAGGTGATGAGTGAGAATTGTAATCCTTGACTTTTGGATAATACCTAGATAGCAATTAATAGGTGTTGCAAGTGGGATTTTTCAAACATTAAAAAATATAATCCGTCTTTTCTATTTTCTTAATCAAAGGTAATTTTCCCAGCTGGTAAGTGCTATTGGGTTTTTATGCTATGGCTAAGCAAAAAGAAAGAGAGCTGTATAAAGACTAGAAAATTGATGCCTACAAGGATTAGTAGCAAGTATTGCCAAGGAAAAGGTATTATTTGATATACTACTTACTAGGCAAGAATGCCTTAGCTAACCAGCATGAAATTACTGGACAGAGGCATGGACTTTTCACGGCGTAGACTCAGCTACAGCTGAAAGTTAAAAGCTGTTTGTTTGATAGAAGCCACTTCTCTCTCAGTGGCCTTTGTTGTAGAACACCTTCCAGATGTTTATTTTGTGTTATTTTAAAGATGCACACTACTGCTGATGTACATTTCTTTTGTGTCCAAGCCCTGTGTTAGCTCAGATGGCCAGAGTGGGTATCCTTATCCTTAGCCTCCAAGAAGCTTCTTACAGGAGTAACAGGATGTCACTGATGCCTTGGCATTTACCTTGGTGCCATACACTGTTTTATCTCACCTGCTCATAAGGGTAAAATGCTTCCTTGCTGTTGAACTGCTGCATTACAGAACCCTGCAGTCAAAAAAGGTTTACTTTCATCAAAGAGTACAAAGGGGAGGGAGGTAACTGAAGGTTTTCACAAGTCTTTACTCAGTGTCTGTCTCTTAACAAATCAGCAATAGTGTCACTCCCTTTTGGCCACACTGGCAGTGTTTGAAGTCACACTGGGGCATTTTAAGATACACGGATATGTGAAATGCAGACAAAATGGTCAGATGCCACAGAATCAATCTGGTATGGAGTAAAGTGAATCTTGAGCCATAAATGTTCATTTAAAAGCTAAATTTATTGTACTTCATTTTACAGTGTTCCCTTTCTAGGCTGAGAGTTAATACAATAAAAATATATATATAGAAGAACATTTAATAGTCTTAAAAGAAGGCAGCACAATGGAGAGGACACATGTTCTTTGTCACCAGACTAGCTTAAAAAACTGTAATGTTTAATTTTCACCTTTAAAGCAATCAAGCTAACTTTACTAATGTAAAGTGCAGGCAGAATGGCTGTTGCATAGCAACAGATCTAAGTCTTCTGAACTGCCTTGGTTTTGACAAGGAATCAACTACACAATGTGCATATACATCCATCAGATATAAAGAGTTTTTCATATGAATATATTTACTTTTGGTCCAGTAAAACAATAGCAAGAGAATCTAAATGCTTGGAACAATAGCACAATCCATTTCAAGTCAAGCATTTTTTAAGAGAAATTTACAAAAACTTCACAAATTTAATATACAAGTCAGTACCCATGCAGTAAATAAATGTCCAGTTTATACAAACAATATTCTTCTAATAGTACAAATCTTACACTGGATCCAGAATTCTATACAAATGTTAATACATGATTTGTCATCCAGACAACTTGAATATAGGATTACTGAAAATGGGCTACAGAAAGGCCACTCTTCTGTACAGTTGTGCAAAATCTGCAGAACATTTGCAATCCAAACGCAATAACAAGGTAGAAAATGAGGGGTAGAAAGAGGAAAAGAAAGAAAAAGGGGAGCAAGAGAGAAAAAGGGGAGAGAGAGAAAAGGAGAGAAAGAGAGAAGGAGAGAAAGAAAAAGAAAGAAAGAAAAAGAAAGAAAGAAAGAAAGAAAGAAAGAAAGAAAGAAAGAAAGAAAGAAAGAAAGAAAGAAAGAAAGAAAGAAAGAAAGAAAGAAAGAAAGAAAGAAAGAAAGAAAGAAAGAAAGAAAGAAAGAAAGAAAGAAAAAATCTGTCCATTCTTTCCTTCATCCCTTCATGGATATAACTGCCAGGAGATATCAGAGTTCATAAAGTTTAAAGTACATTCACTGAGCTGTACAGGCAATAGTCTCAAGTTGGTTAAGAGTACAACTCATTAAAGTATAAAGGAGGCTTTTCCTTTCCACTTGAGCATTATTAAATCGTGAGTCCTAACTTACGCAGCAAAATACCGAAGAGCAGCAGAAATATTTTGTCATGCTCTTAACATTTTTCAAAACCAAGTTCATAAAAAGTAAACATATGATTTAAGAGTTCCCTCCCACTTTTATTTCAGGCATGTGCCTAACTCTGAGGAGCTATTTCCCCTCATATTCACTGGGTTGTCTTCAGCAGATAACAAATCTCATGGAAGTTTAAAACATTTTAATTGGCTTGTGAACTCAGCAGAACCCAGAGACATCCCTTCCCCTTCAAAGCAAACCAGAGGCTTTTTTACTCCTTGGTTATTTTTCAGGTTCCATGCTCACTCAATTCTGCTCTCATCACACATTATCCCTGCATACAATACAGCCAAATTTCACAGCTCAGAAAACACATAGGAAACTACTTGAAAAATAAAAATCCTATTCACTCCTTTTCTATTGTGGGAATCTTCAAAGCATCTCAGATTTGAAGCATTTCATTGGAAACCTTTTCCACTGCTGCTGTTCTGGGCTAAAGAAATGCTGCTACCAATGATGTTGAAAGTCTGTATTTTCTCTTTTGCAAAATCTGCACATTATACTGATACTTTCAGTGCAAAAGCTTCATCAATCACAGTACCATGACTTTTTTTTTTTTGTAAATTAACCTACTGTGATTAAGAGACAACACACAATTTGGTCTTAATTATAATACAAACCAGCATCCCTTTGCACTGGTGGTAAACCTAAGCAATAGGCTTTAATAAAAGCACAAGGAAATGAGACCTAACCTTTTGACACCTAAACTCACATTAGTAATTTTTTTGTCCGCTGATTTTCACCCTTTTATGTGTTTGACAAAACTGAAACACAACAGCTGCATTACACCTTTTCCCTGTTATTTAAGAAAACTCCTAGAGTTTCTCATGAAATATAAAAATTGGTTTTCTCCCACCACCAAAACAGTACCTGCACTCCAAAAATGCAATGCAATACTGGAATTATATAATATAAAATATCATTGTAAAACTGACCTTTGATAACAAAAGCTTTATAGCATGTGGAACTTCCTGCATGAAGGCCACAGTCTTCCAAAAATGCTTTTAAATCCTTTTCTTCAATAGCTAAAGATCATGTTTTTTTAATTCACAGAAGATAAACACAAGCAGAGCATTGGTAGCATATAAAATATACAAATCCTCATTAAAGAAGTGGTATTGTTGACCATTGAAGGTTTCACACAGCTGAGTAACATTAAAATATAATTTACTAGAGCTCTCACATATTGATATAAAAACTACTTTATGCACTTGAGTAAAGGGCTGGGGTGTAGCAAATGGACAAAAAGAGAGCCTTTCATACATGTGTTTCTATGTAAGAGTGAGTGTGTGCTAAGGAGCCTATAAGTGCTTCAGCCTCAGATGAGCTATTAACAGAGTCCCTCCGGGGGCTGCTTTCATAGATGTTCATGAAGAGATCAAGGTACATTTGTTTCCATTCTTGAAAGTCTCTAGACGTCAAGGCTGGATTATCCAGAACTTTATCTATAATGGCTACTTCTCCTTCCCTGGCCTGTGAGAGAAAAGGAACAAGCAAAGAGTTAATGCAAGTGACTGACAGAATCAATCATGTGGGTGCAAGCAGAGGATGGAGGGTACAACTCGAGCCTCGGTGCCCCTGAAAGCACAGGGACTATCTGATCTCTGAGCACTCACACACAGGAGCCTTTCTACAGGGTGTCCCACATTCCCCCGTGGGACTTGGGCTTCCCTTGCCTTGTCCAGAACCCTCAGTACAAGTTCCCATTCCCCCACCTGCCCCCGTGTTCAGCCCCAGACAAAGCAGCCCCCCCCGTTTGCTGTTAGCTGCTTGCATTTCTCAGGACGGGTTTCACACAGCAAAGTGCCATCTGTTTGCTCTTGATCAGATCAGAAATTCTGTGTGGGTGTGTGGGATGCAGACACAGGCAAAGCACAGCTACATCTCCTTACAGGCTTGTCTTGGGGCACCTGAGCTCTGCACTGCAAAGGTTTGTGCAAGGAGTCCCAGGGAATGAGAGCTCATCTTCACTACAGATCTACTGCATGCCACGGGCTGCTGGCTGCAACCTCTTCTACCACTGATGTGGCAGAGAGAAGGCAGAAAAAGGGAAAATACAACATTGTTGCTGGTGCCTCATGATGCCCCATGGAGGCAGGGGAAGTGACTGTACCTTAAACCCTCTCTGGTGACTGTTCATGGAGCTGAGTGTCACAGTAAGCCTCAGATGTACCCACAGCCACTCACGGTTGTTGCAATGGAGGAAGCTGGATACCACAGCCAGAATCCTTGGAAACACAGCTAACACACACCTGTGGTTCCCAGCACTGCTCCTCAGCACAGGAATGGCAGGGCCACCAGCAATCCTCCCTCCAACCTCCCTGCAAGATGGGTTTCATACTCCTCATGGCTAACTCACATCTTCCACATCCATACTATGAGTATGATAAATCCTTCTGGGTAGCATGGCAAGGGGAAATATCAAGCTGTGTATGATGGGACAGGTCAGAAGGGTCAGAGACAACTTCCATAAGCAGTGCTTTCATTGCTGTGCAAACAACAGCAAATTAACACTACCTGCTAGAATACTCATTTCCAGAAAGAGAGGGCAAGCTGAGAGCAAGCTGCGGAAAAGAAACCATGGGAACTCCTGATCACCAGCTTGAGCTGCCATAACTTATTTCTCACAGATT